TTTTTTGTTATAGGGTGCGTGCGCTTGCCAGACAGACAGACAGAGACATAGAGACAGAAAGCGAGAAATCACCCCCCAGGAAGGATAGCCATGCCGCAATCCCTTCTCCTCCATTCTCCTCTCGGGATCTTGGGCACGCACGCACACGCGCCCGGCATGAGTTTAAGCCACCGGGTCCAGGACTCAAACCGTAGTTGACTACATGGGAGTCTAGCGACATAGCCATTATGCTAACTGCTGGTCCCCAACACGCTTATTTGCTCTGGGTATTTCAGGAACCTACAAAGGCCAGTCTTATAACTCTGCTCTCAAAGGCTTTATAGTCAGGTAGAGATTACGTGTGCTCATAACTCAGTCTAATGGAAAGCTAGAGTCAGCTTGTGGAGACAGGGATGCCACTGAAGGGGTTTATGGGCTTGGGTAAGCCCCTGTGAAAGAACCAGGATAAATCTCATCAAGGAGAAAGTAAACCAAGGTGGGAGGAGCTGTGGTCGGCCAGCGAGCTCCGGCTCGGCTGTGCCTCACTGTTACGGGAGCCCACACCGTGGCTCAGCACATACGTGGAGGGCTGTGGTTCTGGGAGCAGCCGTAGCATGGGTTGGAGGGCATAAAGAGAGGAAGTTGAGAACTGTCAGGAGTCTGTTGAAGTCGTTCTGAGCTGCGCAGGGGAAGCAGCTAGGAGAGACGACGCAGACTGAAAGTCAGGGAGTCTTTGACCCAGTCACTTAACTACCGAAAAACACGCCAAGTCCCTTGATGGATGTTGGCCAAGTTTCAAGACTACGTTTGAAGTATCTGGTGCATGAAACAGAAAATGGTAAAAAGAATAAAAAGCAACATTTGTGAAAAATACAAAACTAAAGGCAGCATGAAGTTAAACGCCCACTAACTGGAATATATCGAATGCATTCCCTTTGATCCCTGAGTCCTGGCCTCTGCTAACCTCTCACCTCAACCCATTCTGGATCTTGTCTTTTCAGTCCTTCCACGGCTGTGCCCACTTCACTCCTGTTTGAGCAGCTTCCTCTGGGGTGTGTGTGTGTGTGTGTGTGTGTGTGTCTCAGTTTCTGTCATACCACACTTCTCTGCTTCTCATTCTGCCTGTCGTGATTTATCCGGAGTTCCTTTGCAGGAACTTATCCAAGCCCATAAATGATTATTATTTCTCAGTCTCTGTCTTTTGTCTGTTGCTCTTTTTTTTTTTTAATTTTAAAATCATATTGAAAGACATTAAAGGAGTCCTCAGAGAAAGAATATATTCAACATATTAATGAAGAAGAAAGAGTCGATGTTAAAAACACATTCGTTGTCTCCAAAATGACACACGCAATAAAACGTTATCTTTTTGTGAGTAGTGACAAATTGATTCTAAAATGTAGCGGAAAAATAAAGATCTAAGAAAGCCTTTTAGAGGAATGAAGCTGCGTTCTCCGTGTGCTAGCTAGCCAGTCAGCCTCGCGCATTGAAGGTCTGCTGGTGTCTGACCACATACTCCCTCCCGTCAGACTTTCGGGCTTTTGTGTACCCACAAATCCATGTGATCTTTGGGCTGACAAATCTCTCTCTAGCCTGAACTCCAGTTATGCTAGGTCTGTCCTTCGGTGTATCCAGAAGACAGAGACCAGTCACCCCCAGCAGGCTTCCTCTTTGTGTTCCTGGTCTTGGCATGTGGTGTCACCAGGCATCGGTGGGCACTCTCTCTGGTCCGAATCTGTCCGCCTCCTCCAGGGTCTATGCCGGGAGCATATTACCAATTTTATAACTTGTCCACACTGTCTCCTGTGCATCAGCTCTCCTACTGTGGCCGTTGCTGTCCTTCTAGATTATAGCCATAGCTTCCTGGGTAAGTTCCGCAACTTTAACGCTCCTGAAATACATCATTCTTGCTGGAGTCAGGCTGATCAGTGAGAGACAACCAAAATGAACCACGCAAGTGTGACCATCTGCCTTTTAATTGTTAGCTATCATTTGTCCTGCGGGATGAAATCTAAGCTCTTCAAGGCCTGGGAGGAGGATGCTTGATTATAGTTGGTCCTCGTTAAGTCGATGAGGAGGGATAAGAGCATGTTGTCTTAGTGCCTGTCTTCCCTCACATTGTTCATGTCTCCTCTTT